AAATTCTAAATGCAATTTAAGTAATATCTCCTTGTATAATAAATAAATGGAAAACTACTCCTAATTAGCTAACAGAATTCTACCATTAATATTTTATTAAATCATACAAGAGCTTACTTTCTCATCCACAAGGGTCTCCCCGCCTTACATTTTCTTACTTTTCTCACGTGACATTGTGTTTTTTTTTTTTTTTTAATATATATGATTAATGCTGAAACCTTATACCATACATCTTAATTAATTGAAAGAACTAATATAAATCATAACTCTTGTACATTACAGGTATTATAATATTAATTATTACAAGAAGTATATAACTAGTTCAGCAATTATATGTATCAAATAGGAAATAGAAAATGTCATAAACATCTACAAATGAGCTTGAAGTGTTAAATACATAATTACAATAAAATAATGACATAATGCCAATATTGATGTCTAATAATACTCATTCTTTTAGTATGATCTCTAAATATTTTAGATTACAATCTTTTTATTAATTGATCAATAATTATAAGAACGATACAAATATTTAATTGATATTTTTTTTTGAATTTTTCATTAAATCAAAATATTTTAATTTTACATGTGTTGCATCGTTCAAATACTTGTTATTTTCTTGGGAGAAAACAACTACGGAATTATTACAATAAATTTTAAGTAGCTTGACAATATCATCAACTACTCTAGGTCTAAGAATGAAGTTTCGTAGTCAATTGGCTTCAATTATGATTTCCAAGCATGCCACAAATTCAATTTTTATAATGGATGCAACAATAATATATTATTTTATTCTTCCATTAAAACTTAAAAATCACATTTCTAAGAAAAACTTTTGATAACAAGTTTGGCTTTAAAAATAGTTACAGAAGCCATGATAGTCAAAAACAGAAGATAGTTAGACTTGCGTTAAAAATGAATGAGTCATGCTGTCCATACCTTTTATATATTTGGGGAAGCCAAGTTCATTTTTTTTGTCAGTCATAAGAGGTGCCATAAATCCACAGGCAATCTCCTGCCTTGCTGCCCGTGTATTTTAAAAATGTTTGGTAAGATTAGATAAAAACAAAGAACATGGTCAAATATTCAAATTATCTATGTTTTTTTTAAAAAAAATTTCAAAGAATCTAATCATATGGGTTTCTGTACTTCTTAGTGTTGTTCTTAATCTAACCATGAAATGACTCAGAGGCTTCTTCAGAATTTATTTTCCTACTGTAATTCTCCAGATAGTTATTGTTTGAATTCATACAAGATAGAATACAATATTCTATTGATGGAATGAATAGTAATGGCGGGCTTATGCGGTACTAATGTTTTGACTTGGTGGTCATAGATGGCAGAAATGTGAAACATACGTAATCTGCAAAGGGGAGTTGTAAGATTAGGCTGGAACTAGGGAGGCCTGAACGCAATGAAAGGAGAATTAAGCATTCGTAAGGCAGTTCCAGGAAAAGGGTTGAAGAAAAAGAAACAGGGCAATGACTATTATGTAGAATGTCTCAACTTTGACCTTTCTAGGGTTGCCGAAGTTGTGCATCATGCACTAGTTAGTTCAGGTATGAAGAGCAACTTCTACATGCTTTTTGTTTTGACTACTTTTTGATTGATGCTGGCTGATATTCTTCCTTGCTATTCATGTGTTTTTCTCAAGATGAAGACAGCTTAGTCACAAAAGATTGTTCAGATTGTAAGGGCTTGGTGGAAAAGGTTGGTGCAAGTTCTAGTTCTGTCCAAAAGGTTCTGATGAAAGCTGAGGAGCATTGTGCGGCCTTGTCAGTGGTAACGGAAATAAACTCAGTAAACTCTCCCAGGTGAGTTGAGATAGAGGATTTACCCAAAAAAATGGCTTAGTTTGTGAATTTCTCTCTGATTTTGTAGATATTTTATCTTCCAGGAACCGGCATTCATGGATAAGTTTTCTGCCAATCACTTACCAGCAACTATAGTTATTTTGTCTGTTCAAGAGGCAAAAACTATGTTCAGAAGGGATTTAATTAACCTGATAGGAGGTTTGAAGCATCTGGAAAAATAATCGTCAGAGTTATAATGATAAAAAAAACCTGTCTGTCTCTAATTTCAATCATTATTTTGCAGGTTTCAAGTTAAATCCAATGTCTTGTCTTGCTATAAACCATTACAGTTTAACAGGAGAAGAGCCATCTGATGTTCATGAAATCACATTCGATAAAAGTCAAAGATTTGAAGAAGTACCAAGAGATGACAGTTTTCATTTGAAAGACAGCACTGATTACGAGGAAAAACTTTCTTTGAGATCAATTTCTGTAATCCGTAGAGAGCTGCCAGAGTCAGCTCTTGGCTGGCCTCTTCTTCAAAGAACAAATAGTCCAGCTCGGGAAGCATTGAGTAGTTCAGAAGTAAGGAATATGTCACTGGATGGAATTCAAAAGAAAACAATAGTTCTTCTGATCTCAAAACAGATGATTATATTGTCAGAAATGCAAGACTGAAGGGACTGTAATCCAATTGTTTCATGCCTCTGAAACTGAGTCGAGATGGTAGCAGCAATAGAGAAGATGAGAATTTTGGCTTTAAAAAGAAAGTTTATTCAAATTTTGATTTTTCCCTTACCAAAGAATCCACACGATCAGGGCCTGGCTGGCTTCTTCTCCACATAAAAACTTCTGCATCTCCAGAATCTCTGCAAGAATCTCAGGCTGATGGACTTTCAGTGGTTCAATGGGTTTTGAGTCTACCCAGTCGATCCAAAGAAGCAACTACAAATATTCAAATTGATGTTGTTTCCAAAGAAGCAGAGAGTTACGTTGAAAACAATATATGTGGACACGAGGGTAAGCACAGTGAGGCTTGTTTAGCAGCATCAATGAAGCTGCCGAAGAAGCTGGGCTGTTTCTTTAAATTGTGCTCGTCCGGCTGCAAGCAGTTCAGTTATGAGGAGCTGAGGAGAGAAACTCATCATTTCTCCTCAGTTTTGATTCTCTCTTTTTAAAGGGGTAGCTAGATAAGGCATATATATAGCTATAAATTTATTTCTTTGACATGTTTGCAACAGAAAACTTCCTTGGGGAGGGAGGCTGTAGCAACGTGTACAAAGGATATCTTGCTGGTGGTAAGCAAGTGGCAGTGAAGATCCTAAAACAGTACAAGGAAGCTAGGAATGACTTCTCCTTGGAAGTTGATATCATGTCTTCGTTAAAGCACTAACACATTACGCCTCGAATTGGCATATGCGCCGAGGATGATCATTTAATTCTGGTCTACGATTTCATGTCTAAGGGGAGCTTAGAGGAAAGGCTACAAGGCAAGTGTATTTGAGCATCTAGGTTGCTTCTTTAGAAATGATGCAGGGATCAGTGTCGTTATTCAAGTATCAATGGTGATGCAGGTAATAGCAGGAAGTCTGTATTGCCATGGAAAGTGAGGTTCAAAATGGCTTTTGAGATAGCCAAGACTCTATATCACCTGCACAATGAATGTCCTCAGCCTGTTATTCACAGAGATATTAAATCTTCTAACATTCTCCTATCAAATTATTTTCAGCCACAGGTACTACTGTAAGCAAATTATTGCATCTGAAAACAACTTTAAGGCAATTGAATTCTAAGTACCATAGTCTCGATGCTGCTCTATTTTTGTCTATCAGTTATATGATTTTGGGCTTGCCACATGGGGACCTACTGATTCAGCGTATGCAGCACATAATGATGTTGTTGGAACTTTTTGGGTACATAGCTCCTGAATATTTCATGTATGGGAGGGTCAGTGACAAAATTGACGTGTACTCTTTTGGCATAGTCGGCCTTGAATTGTTAACCGGAAAGAAACCAATCATTTCCACAGGTCTGAAAGAACAAGAGAACCTTGTTAAGTGGGTAAGAGTTTTCTCACTCTTTGAATTGTTGACGATGTTTAGTTATGTTCGTAGTCCCCTGACCAGACCTGACAAAATTAACGAATAACCAAAGTACTCTAATGCAGCCTGCAGGCAACGAGATTATTAGAGAGCGGGAATCTAAAAGCTTTGCTGGACCCGAAGATGGGCAGAGAGACTTCGACAGTGTTCAAATGCAAAGAAAAGTTTGTTGCAGCAACTCTCTGCTCCGGACAGACAGCTAGAGTACGTCCTAAAGGGAGCCGGCTACTGAACTGTGATATAGTACTGTTATAATTGTGATTAATTCCAAGTTAACTTAACCTGTAAACCACATGCAATTTTAGTTCAATAACCTATATATCTGTTACATCGCCGACTCGTCCGGCTGAATTGCAAGCCAAACGTTTCCTGCACTCTACTTCTCTAGCATATTTTTCTTGACAAACAGTAGACATGACAAACTTTAATTCAAAGATTGTTTTAACCATGCCAATTAAAGATTTGAAGCTTAAGTTGGTTTAATTCCTGCTCCAGATACTTGAGCTATTGAGAGGGGAGAAAGGGGAAAGAGAATGGGTGAATAGCTATGCTAATGATCTAAGTCAAGTGATGAGGAATGTGATGACCTTTTCCTGGAATTTGGCTGCAAAACATGAGTGGGAGCCTTCATTTCTGGAATTAGATGATGATGATGCATCACCTAATACTGTTGATGTCACTACACCAAGTAGCGCAGGACGAAAGAGCCGTTTTATGTTGAGAGACTATCTGAAAGAAGAGCAGGATGGATCATAATGTTTTTGTGTAATTTTGCTGCATTCCCTTCATGCTTGATTCCAATGCGACCAAAAGCTGGCATATAGGCTGCTGAGTTCGCAAGGGAGGGAAGCTGGTTGATGACCGAAGTCGAAAGCATGAATTTTGTTGCATACAGCATTTTTTTTCCCTGTTCTTTTAAAATGAGAAAATCCCAATCCCATTCACTGCAACTTAAGTGACCAGCATTAAAAAGAATTAGCGAAAAACATTCAGAAGACACGTTGAGGGAGTCGAGTGTTTATCAGGGCTTAGCTTGATTGTATTTGAAGGCCTCTATAGTCTTTAAACTGTCAGTAAGATTGATCATAAATGGCGTGTTAGATTGGCAAAATAATGAATTTTATAAGATGGTTGAATAAAAATGAACACAACAACGTAAAAAGAAAAGAAGGAAAATTGTATCAGATGTAAATGAAATACGAGTAAATGACAGCGGCTATCTCAGCTTCCAACTCCTATTGTCTCAAATTAGCAATTCCTGCATCGACTCTAAATACTGCCCCATCAGGCTCATTCATGGACACCTCAACAAAAAAACACTAGGCACCACGAACTTCTTACAAGTTCTTGACTATGCTTAATATTTTCCTCAAAATTAAAATGGAATTGTATAAGGTAATCCATAAACATCTGCCTCGGGTAAGTATTGCGCACACAGCCTCGTAGTAGAATCAGCATGGCACGAGACATCATGGCACACTTTCAATCTTTTGTATCCATGCCTGTCTTGCTTTGTTTTCCCAAAAAGCCATTCCTGATCAACAAGATTGTTCAGCTCAAACTGAAATGATTCCTCCAAATTCGCAATCAAATCTTGGTAAAGTGATTCTGCTGTCCGCATCTCCTTATCATATGATCTCAAAGAAGTTTCAACAATTTTATTCTTTTGAGGAACAGAATCCGTTGTTCCCAGAGAAGAGCACAACCCTGCTCCATTAACAGGTGCATCGTGCCCTCTATGCCTTCTCAATGGCAACTGAATCCGAATGATGGTACCTGATCGATCATTTCAACAGCTTAAAGATTACAAAAAGCTGCAGCAAATAATAAGACCCGCCAAAGTCTAAAACCCACAAACTCACCATGAGTTTTGCCACCATCAGACAGGTAGCAAAGGCTCTGAGAGGACAGAGGTTGCTTATCTTCCTCAGTAAGATCGCTCTTTTCATCTTCTTCTCCTCTTTCCTTTGGAAGGAACCTTTTGTCCTCTAGATGGAACTTATCAGCAACACGACTTCTTTCCTCACTGTTTCCTTTCCTATGCTTCCTTCTTTCTTTCTTCTCCCCCCTCTTTCTCCCTTCATGCTTTCCCTTCTCGAAACTCTCCCCTTGGAGCTTTTGTGAACCAAAATAACAATTTTAGAAGAGAAATCACTTACCCGATTCAAACCCATTTTTTTCTCAGAAATAAGTTTGTAGATTCCACAAAATACCATATGAATTGATACAATCCTGTAGGTTATATCATGCCAAGTGCAAAAATTAAAGTAGTTGACAAGAAAACCAGATTTTCTCAAACAAACCTTGATCGATTCGGTAAGGCAGCCCGGAGGCAGGTAAGGAAAGCACCGAGACATTGCTTAATTCACCAGATATATGCTTGGTGACTGAAATCCAAACCTCCAATATTGTAAAGGATATTAAAGGAAAACTGTTCTCTTTATTTAATCAATCGATAGCAAATTATCGAAAACTGATTGAAAATACAAAAATCTTAAATGGGCTGCCGCGCTCGAGGATTTTTAATCGAATCGCAGTGAGGGTTAGGGTTTCTAAAATGGCTGTCGTTTAACCTCCTACATGTCCGAGCATCGAATGAGGACAGAGCGAAGGGTGAATAGATAAAGGCGTGAGATCGGTTCTTTTGCCGATAATGCCCTTTACTTAAGGGTGTTTTTCCATCGTCCAGTGTCGTTTAGATCGAGGGGCACCGTTGCAAATTTAATTTTAGCCGAGAACTTTTTTTAGCTCCGAAACACTCGCGTGCCAGTTGTGGGATAGAATTGACAACCAAGCAAACAAGCCAAAGATGCAGCAATTAAATATCCTGCCAACAACATTACTAGAGAGTGCCAAACTCAAAAGCGTTACGACATCTTAAGTCAGATGGGGCTTCACAAATGTTCCAATGCATAGAATGTTTCTGGCTGCGAAAACTCACCATCAGACTGGAAAAGTGAGCAAGCACTACAGAAACGCGATTCCAGAACATCACATTCGGGATGTGTACTACTACTACATAAGCCTTGAATTTGGGGGCAACTGTATAAATTTCAGATAGATTGTTATTACTTGCTTGGCCAACCGAATGAATTAGTCATTGCAAGAAATAAAAGCAAAGATTGCTAGAAAGGGATATGCACACATTTTTTATAAGAAAAACCGCCATGATTTAGAAGTCACTGTACATATTTCCCTCTCTAAACATCCTATGCCTATCCTATCAATAGAAACATCTGCACTACATATTCAAAATTGGCTCATGGCCACCTCACAAAAAAATTTCAGACCATGAACAGATTACAGTTGCTCAGTGCTTCACATCAAAATGGAATAGTATAAGGTAATGCGTATACATCAGCTTCAGGCAAGTAATGCCCGCATGGAAACAAAGAACTTTCATGACACAAGACATCACGGCAAGCATTTAGTATCTTGTTTCCATGCCTTTCTCGCTTTGAGGCCTCAAAAAGCCATTCTTGATCATCAGAATCATTAAGCTCAAACTGACGAGGTGGTGAAATCCAATCCTCAATTAAGACTTTGTACAGTGAGTCTGCTTTCCGCATCTTCTTATTGGGCAATTTGAACCGAGAAATCCCAGATTCATGGCAAACAGTGCTCTTCTTCTCTGAAACTGAACTGCAAGGCATTTTTTCTGGAGATGCAAGTTCCCCAACAACAGTACCTGCCTTTGAATTGACAGTTTCTTGATGGGATAAATGGACACCTTCATTCTGCCCAGAAACAGAATTTGCCCTTCCCGAAGTAGAACACAACCCTTCACTATTGAGAGGCACATCTGGCTCTTTATGCCTTGTCAAGGGTAACCTAATGCGGAAGACATTACCTGATTGATGATCATAAGTTAAAGATTAAACGAGTCTGCAACAAATAACAAGACCAATTAATCAAACGAAAAGAGCAAAACTCACGGGGTTTGTCATCATTAGTTGCTTGTTCCAATTTCCTCTTCTTATTGCTCCGAATGCCATCATCAGACAAATAGCAAATATTCTGAAGGCATACGGGCTCATTGTGTTCTTCAGTAAGATCACTCTTTTCAGCTTCTTCCTTTTTTTCCCTTGGAAGGAAGCTTTTCCCCTCTTGATGAGACTTGCCCACAGTATAACATATTTGGTCCTTGTTTTCTTTCCTATGCTTCCTTCTTTCTTTCTTCTCCTTCTTTATATCTTTATGGCTTTCTGTTACAGACTTCTCCTTTTCCTTTCGGATCTTTTGTGTACCAAAAGAACAATTTTAGGAATCAAAGTTCTATGAATTACCCAACTCACGAATTAAAAAAATCTTCCACCTTCCCACAAAATGCAAACCACTTTCTCAGTTGTAAATGCATATCACTTGCACATTTGTAAATCCAAATCACTTGCTCATTCATTTCAAGGAATGAAAAGCTACAGCATTAGAGGTTAGAAGCTAGGTTAAAATTTATTTCGAGAAAACAAGGCTTAAATCACTTGCCCATTTGCTAAAATATGATGGGTTTTTTATCCCATGAACTATTTTTAAACCAATTTTCTTAGCAATCTTTTTATTCAAACCCTAGAGCCACAACCGAAAAACCCAATCAAGATCTCATGAATCAGGAACACGATTGTGCAATAATCAAGATTACAACATTTAAACATGGTTTAATTACTAAACTACATTAGTTAAACTAATGGGTCAAATTATGTAATAAGTCGTCTTGAGGGCGAAAAGGGTTAGTACACATCAAGAATATCAAACCCTAGGGTTAATACAATTACAAGTGCAATTTTGCAACGAAAGCAAGTCGAGCACTAGATGGAAAAATCAAATTTGCTCAACAAACCTTGATCGACTCGATCTGGTAGCCCGGAGGCGGGTAAGGAAAGCACCGAGACATTGTTTAATGAATCTGGATCTGAAACCGGATTTACCCGACCGAATATCAAATGGGTATTGAAAAATAATAAAATAAATTTTGTTTCTGTGCTTCGCTAGAAATCTAAGAGAAAAACCCTAGTTTAATCGAACAAATCGCTAGGGTTTTTATGACGGCGTCGCCTCCGCACCCTTCTGACTAACAATTGCAGACTGCGTAGAAGGGTGCGGGTGCTCTTTATATATAGACCGACTTAAGACGCCTACTTGATGTGCTCTTCTGTACCGATAATATCCTTGTGCTCTTCTGTACCGATAATACCCTTCTTTTAATTGGTTATCCTTGCTCTTTCAGGGATACTATTGGGGATCCATCTCCTACAACAAAAAAGTTTAATCACGCGCTCCAGTTGGAGCGTGTCACATACGGATTCACAGCAAAACCAAGTCAAGAAACGGCAATCCATTGCAAAAGATCCACGTGTTGATGATACGTCTCCGTGTTGAAAAATCTTACAAGGCCAGTAGAATAACTAGTAGCTTAAATTGAAAAAAAATATAGAAAAAAGGTTAAAAAATATAATTTGTAACCCGAAAAAACAGAGAATAAGAATAATTTCATTTAAGATTTCTTTTTATTTTTTTATTTTTTTATTACATTTATTTTAAATAATAACTAGTAAAATATTACTTTAGTTTAGTTATTCTATTAATTATTCTATTAAGTACCATAAGATTTCTCGTTTAGTTAATTATAAATTATTTTTATATTAATTATTTGAATTGATATAGTTATTTTAATCTAAAGTATCTATATACTTATTTTAGGATTAATCTCTTACCGGTGAAGTTACAATGCAATTTACATTTCCATACCATAAGGCATAATTTTATTTTTTTTAAAAAAATACATGTTGCCCCACAATTGCGTCATGCGTTCATGTTCACAGAAAGGCTCTGGCCATTCTCACAATTACAAATTTTGGATTAAGTGTATTTATATTTTTGTGGATGTATAACAATAGCATAGATTACACCAGAGTTTTGTATTATGTGGTTTAAAAAAAAAGTCATGGGGTGGTTTTATTGTTGAGTTTGTGTATAGTTTACACTGGGTATTTTCTTGTGAATTATTATGAATTAAAATAATTAATTTTTTAAAATAAAATAAATTTTATTTTTGCATAATTAAGCTCTTTTGAGCTCATATGAGCACCTAATTACTTATTTTTTTGAAAATAAATGTTAGATTAAAAGATAGAGTACTAAAGTGAAAAGGACGGGTAAAATAAATGATATTTTTGAATTTTTTTAAAAAAATCATTTTAATCTCTTATTTTTTTAATTATTAAGTTATCGGTCCCTTTAGTTATCAGATATTCAATTTTAATATCAAAATTTATTCTTTTTATTTTTTAGATCTTTTTTGTTACATGATAGAGGGAGTCTCGTTTATTCTAGTGTAAAAACAAAATTCATAATCGATGATAATTATAACCATAAAAATAATTGATTTAAATATCAATAAATTTAATTTAATAAAAGAAGTTTAACATTGGTGTTTTTTCCTCCTCCTAGCTCAAAGAGGTGGATTTGACCAGAAAAATAATTTTGGGTACAAATTAATTTTAGTTTCTTAAGCTATTTGTTGGGGTTTTAAAGACTTTAGATAGATTTATCAAAGTATTGTTTTTTCTACGTGTTTTATGTTGAAAGTAGGTTTTTTAGCAAAAAAAAAAAACTTGAGATCTTATTTTTTTCAGCAATTTTTAGTCCCTCTTTACTTATTTATCCCAAAAAATTAAGATGATAGATTGTTCATCCTTTAAAAAAAAATTAAAAAAATTAGATCTAGATTTATAAGTTAGGCTAGAAGACCCACCTCTTATTTTATTTTTTATTTTTATGAAGGCGGGGCATATTGAGCCACTAGGCCTATACATATGGGCTCATCTATTTTTTGTTTTTGTTTCTATAATAAATAAATATTATTAAATTTAATTGATTTTCTAAACCGAATTACAGATTTGATAGGTTAATGTGTAGCATCTAGCATATTTTTCTTTTTTTACTTTAATATAGTTTTTGTCACTCAATTTATAAAAAATACAATTTAACCCTTTGTTATTCATAATTTATTTTTTTATTTAGTTTAAAACTAAAAAATTATAATTTCATCTTTTATTAGCAATGATGTGTTTTAGCCATCTTGGTTCAATATGCCTACCATGGTTGATTTTTCTATTAAAAAAGTAGTTCATACCAAAAAAAAAATTCTTAAACACTTTATTATCATATAATTAATTAAAAAATAATCTATGAGATAAAACAATTTATTAAATCTGATAATGTCCATGACTCGTGTTGCGAGCTTACTTGATTGCCTCAAATTTACTTATTTTTTTTAAAAAAAATCAATTGTTATTTTTTACCAATTTCATTTTGAATGAATCGAGGGTTTAATTTCTTTTTTTTATTTTCAAGATCGTTTTATTGGTCAACCTGAATTAACCTAAGTTAATTCAATCTGTTTTTATCTCAATATTAAATTAAAACATCATTCAAATTCTTGATTAAAATATTTTTTTATGAGACATATTACCAATATTTAGAATTTTTTTCATGCTTAAAAAGAATTTTTATATGACTCACTACATTTACTTCAAGAGCTTGATTATTATTTTCTTTTCAAAAATGTTTTTGAAAAAAAAAAATTTTGATGTTTTAAAATTATTTTGATATACTTATATCAAAAATAATTTTTAAAAAAATATATATATTACTTCAATTTATTTTCAAACAAAAAAATATTTCCAAAAACAACAGCTTGCACGAAACAAAATGCTGCAAGGTAGAAGATATGAAGGCAAGCTCAATGACTAGTTATTGGAGTGTCCCGCCATGCTAGTAATGTTCTCTTGAGCTACCCGGTGAATCGTGATGATGCCTTTTCAGGTGATCCCTATAACATCACTTTATTTGAACGTTTTAATTCATGTCACGCTATCTCTTAGAAAGGTAAAATCAGCCATGATGCAATGTTGGTTCTGGTTTGGATAATTAGTTTTGCTTTTCATTTTACGGCCATGCTGCTGCTTGCTTGTGCATCATGTGGTTTAGATTAGTAAAACTGTGTAAACTGGTGTTAAAATTCTCAGCTTATGATTCACAAGGGATTCCCCTAGCTTTAATCTTCTTCTTTTTTCATTATAATCCCATGTGCTGATCTTAGAGGATGGTGACAGATTTGATATCGAATGGGATGAGGACACTCAAGTGAACTTCACTTCAGGAGAGCATATGGAGATCCTAACTAGCCATTTACTTTGGTTCAATTGTTCTACTTCTTTTAATGGTTCTACCTTTGTTTTGCCCTTAATCTTGAAGTTATGTTGCTGTGATTATCACATATCAGGCATGTAATTCCATCGATTTCTATCCAGAATCTGCTGGCTCTTCCAAAACTGCCTATCTCCAAGCATGTCGATGGCATCATAAACTTCCTCTAGGCTTCTGCTAGATCTTGCTATTTTTCTTCTGGGTATCTGAAACGATCTTTACATTAGATTGCTCCATTTTTCTCATCTGAAATGGTAACTAATGCTATTGTTGTGATCATAACCCAATGTTCTTATGCCCCACAATTGATTGCCCTTCCCGAACTCTATTGTTGATTTCAATTCTGCTCTCTCTGCCTACGGAAACAATATCATCTTTGTACAATGCCGATGTGCAAATATGAACTCCTGGTATTGACTATTGTACTCATGTTCTGTTGTTACTTGCACTACTGCCCTATCCAAGTTCCACAGCTGCTTATTTTGATATATGCAAATTGATTTGATACAATGACTTCTGTTAGAAATCGTACTTGTACTACCTGAATTCTTATAGCGGACTTCTTCTATAGTTAATCTGCCTTCCTTTGCTTCTGCAACCTGCACATTCCACTGTATTTCTTGCTTCATAGGCTATTTCTTCTTTTTGTCTATTGGATGATTGCTGCTGCTTCACTGGTGAAACCATAGTATCTATAACCTACTCTCTAGATACTGAAGGGGGGCTTCTAGTTTTTTATTTTGATAATGCAAATCTTGGCTTATTGAAAAAAAATACATTTAGAATTTCAATTTCTGACCTATTATGGAGGTAGTTCTTATCATATATGGAAATACTCTGTTTCAATTTTTTATGGAGGTAGTTCTTATCATATATGGAAATACTCTGTTTCAATTTTTTATGGAGGTAGTTCTTATCATATATGGAAATACTCTGTTTCAATTTTTTATGGAGGTAGTTCTTATCATATATGGAAATACTCTGTTTCAATTTTTTATGGAGGTAGTTCTTATCATATATGGAAATACTCTGTGTTTCAATTTTTTGCCATACTTTTAGATTCCTCATTTTGTTTTTTTCTAGATCTTAATTTGTCTTTAGTGTTGCTGACTTATTTTTCTCTTGCTAATTCTTTAGGAGAAGAGGGGAACATCTGGGACATATCATGGCATGATTATAAGATTTGACTATTCTAATATTTTCATTGCAGGCTTGAGGGTTAACAGACTCAACTCAGCCTTCAATTTAAAAAAGAAAAACCAAAATAATATTGTTTTGATAAAAGAAAGTTTTTACATTTATAATAAGTCAGCGGCTCGCGGTTCACCAGATTGACCAACTTGAAAAGTTCTTATAAGATTGTGTCAGTTATGTTGAGGTACGAGAATTGAAGTTGAAGCACAACAGATTGAATTCGGCAGGGTCCGAGAAATGCAGCAGTGCTTTTGCTTCCTTTTTTTTTTTTTTCCTTGTTCTATATTTTCTTTCTGAAATGGATCTTTTGAGCTCATTAGTGAGAGGGATGATTGCCACGTTGCCACCAATGCAGAGGAAATATAGTAACTCGAGAAAAGAAGGCAATGGAGGTGCGTGTTGAGAAGAGATGCAACATGGCCAGAATATAGTTCTTGAAGGTCAAGTTGATAGAGCTACAGGTACAGTCAGATTGCATTTCTGAAATTGGGCATTGTCTCCTCTCCTAAAACATCTGGGAAATGAGAAGAAAAGGATGGGGAGGAGCCGATTGGGCATGTTCCCATTTCTGTCATCTTCAACTCCAACGAGGCAAATAGCACCAGCATGGCGTATTTCAAGGTCCCAGCAATTGAAAAGCACAAGCACAGCAGCAATGCAGACACATGAACAGGCCAACAGAGCAGGCCCATCATACAAGCCCAGCCATTCATCGTCTCCATTACAAAATTGATCAGAACCAGGGAGGTCTGTTACTGTTCCGTTGAATTGCATTTTCAAGAGGAGGAGCATTCATCATGCACAAAACAAGCAAAAACGAAAATGGAAGCAAGTACACTTGTTTTGTTTATTAGCTAGGACGGGCAAATTTATATTTTACAGGAACCCGACAAAAAAATAGACAACAAGATAACCAAAGCTCTCCCACCACAAAAAAAGAAAAGAATACAAATAGTTTAAGCAGCTACGAGACCATAATGTAATTCAGGTGGCTAAAGAGAAGAAGTGCCACCAAGGCCATGATGCAAGAGATTATGAGCGATGTGATCCCTTGCCTGTATTGCACTAGCGGATCTAAGACTATTCTCAGGGATCATAACATCGTCGAAAAGATCAAACTTCAGCTCTGGACCCATCTCCTCGTTTCTCATCTCACAAATGTTATGCAACACACAACAAGCTCCAAGAACCGCAGGCAAGTCCTGGAGCTTAACTTCAGTTCTTTTTTGCAAGCAAGACCACCTCCCTTTCAATCTAGCAAATGCCTCTTTAGAGACCCTTTGAATCTCCCCAATCTTCTCATTGAAAGTATGTTGTGTCCATGTCAGATTTTGGTGTGTGTAAGGCACCAGAACCCAATCCATCAAAGGGAGTCCAGAATTCCCAACAAGCCAAACATTCTTCAAATCCCCTCTACTAGCCCTCTTAAACAAAGCAGACTCCTCCAACACTTTATCATCAGGCATTGAACCAGGATAACCAATGCAAACATCAGTGAAAACACCTTTAGGATCCACAACTCCCTGAACTGTCATAGAATACGATGTCTTCTGATGCCTCTCAGTATGCCTCCTGTTGTAATAAGCTGACACATTAACCTTCGGAGCAATAATTGGTACGTGAGTAGTGTACACTGATCCACCAACGTTAGGTACCCCTGACATTGATTCAAACTCTCCCTTGATCATCTTCATTTTCTCCTCATCAGGCCATTGAACGAACTTCTGCATCAAGACATTCTTTATGGCGGAGCAAACTTCCAGAACCAGCTTGTGACAAGTAGAGATTCCCAATCCAAACCGCTTGGACACAAGCCTTAAAGGCTCACCGGTAGCGAGCCTCCAGATACAAACAGCAATGCGTTGGCGAACCGGAATGGCATCGCGCAACATTGTGTTTTTCTTGGTCACGGCGGAATCCAACTCCATGCAAATTAAATCAAACGTGGCCTTGCTCATCCGAAATGCCTTTCGGAACTCCTCATCAGGAAAATCAGGGTGGTTACACTTGTCCCACCAATCCTTTGACCTATCCTTCACCCATAAACGCCGATGTTGTGGCTGCTGGCCTGACCCTCCTCCTCCCGGCCCACTTGATTCGCTTGAAGCCAGTGCAGTTTCAGTTACAGCCGCGGCAGTCGCAACCTCAGAAGCAGCACGGCGAATACGTTTAGTTCTTGTATGATCCATCTCGTCTAGATCGGAAAAATGGGCCTCCAGGTCAGAGCGGTAGTCATTCATTGCTACAACTTTTTGCTTATGATTCCAATCGAGAGCAGCCTTGTCTAGTTGCGACTCAATGGCCCACTGCTGGTATTCTTGCTTTTCCTCCTCATCCAATAAAATAAGAGAGCTGAGGATGTCGCTCATTACTGAATTATTATTGCTGCTCTTGATTTTCTTCCATCCACTTTCATCCTCCTCGCCATCCTTTCTTCGCCTCTTTAAATGAGCGTTGCTGTTGGTTGCCAAGGTGGTGCTGTCAATGTCTTGGAAGAGACTGTACAAATGTGAAATCTCTTCTTGATTAAGAAATGGGAAAGGCGATATTTCCATATCAAACAAGAGATGGTGCCTGTACACGAGAGATTTGAAAGCGAGAAATAAAGATTAGATTGTGTTTGATTAAATGCTTGACCGATAGAGAGAAGAGAGATGTGAATTCAGATGTTTTCAGACTGGGATCCAGGGATTATTTGTAGTGGAGGGTTGGACGGTGAGCGTGTGAACGCGGTGACAGATGCTTTTGACGGAGACTTGACTTTCGGATTTGTTTATGCTGTTAAGTTTTTACGCGTTAGAGGGCGGGCTGGTGGCCGTTTGGGTGCGTTGATGGATTTAGAATTTTCAATGTTCCAGGGAATAGCAAAGGAAAACGTTGGGAAATAAGAGGATGGTTTGTGGAAGTTTCGTCGCATGTCCTTGATGCCTTAAAACCTCCCTCCTCCAGCCCAGTATATTGCATGGCCGCATAGCCCAGTATATCGGCATGGCCCAGTATTTGGCATGGTCTAAGGAACAGGAAAGGCTTCTATCCTTAAAATAATATCGTTTTTAATAAAAATAATATACTTGGACCGCATCATTAATTCAGGTTTAGATTTTTTCCGAGTTAGTTCCCACGAGAACTTGACAATTATGATTGTTGGTTGGAAACCGTCAAATCAAAAGGCTTTTGTTTTTTAAACTACAAGGTCTTCACTCCTGTTTGGTAATGCATTTGACTTAAAAAAATATTTTTTTAATATTTTTTTAGTGAATTTTATTAATTTTGATACACTAATATTAAAAATAATATAAAACACCACACGCTTCAGTATCAATAATAATGATAATTGCAATGGTAAAGGACAGGGAAGCATCTTGATGAATGCACATAAAGAGATAACCACTCAATTGACTTATCATGTTCATGGCATGAGATTGTGCTTTTAACTAGTAGATGCGTGCTTATCTTCACAATTGTTAGCCCTTTCCCCGTACCAAACATATTTTTAATTTGATGAAACTAATTAATTAACTTCCTTGCTTCTTAAATTATATCTTTATGCCGTACATTTTAATTATTTTTTCCTGCAAAAAACAAAGATAGAGCTCGAGGAGAAATAGGTGACGTGGTAAAGTTTTATTATTAAAAAAAAAGTCATTTTCTGAATAAAAGAAAATTTAAGCATGGCCGATATTGGTCAAACTTCAAGGGTCCGTGCAATTATTGCTAATATCAGAAGGGATTGATTATTTATTTATGATGACTTGGAGGGACTAAATTATAATTACTTGGAAAAACGTTTCCTTTTTTTTTTTTTCTTGAGTTGTTTTGTTTTGTGGAAGTAAATTATGAGTCGTGTATGAAATTAAACCACAAAAAATAGTAAAAAACAAATTAATTATTAAAATTAAACCCCTCACCAAAAGTCCAAAACCCTGCTTAAACCCAAAGACCTAATCATTTACGAGCCTTTAGAGAGCGAGAGAAGCCACGTCGTATTTACCACGATGAGAAAAGTTAACCAACTAGCCACCCTGAGCCGAGCCTTTTCCGGCGCGGCCTCTCGTCAGCGGCTGGTTCAAGGAGCAGCAATGACAAGCACATACGCAGCTTCAAGTTCTCAGTGTTTCGCGTCAAGAATCGCTGAAAGTTTTAGGATATCAAATCCCTCCGTCGCACGCGGTGTTACCGGGACTATGTTTTTCTCCGTTGCGGCTTCGTCTTTGGCCCAAGAGGCGCAAGCTAAGGAAGCGCCGCCGGTGGAGAAGTTGATGCCGAAGGACGTCGTTCTTTACCAGTACGAAGCTTGCCCTTTCTGCAACAAGGTTAAAGGTACTCTATTTTTTGCTATGTTCTATAATTTGTTTTGCAATTGGAGAATTTGGGAAATCGTCTGCCTTGTTTCGTTTTCCTAGCAAAATGAATTAAAGTTTTGAGCTTTTAGCATACATTAAGAAAATGGGAAAATTCTCTAGAACATGAACGTGTTGAAAATTTTAGTTCTTTTCATTTTCCTCTTCAGTTCTGATTTTTCCAGGTTTTTCACTAAAAATTAGGTCTGATTCATTGATGGGAATTAATGATGATAAACGATTGGACACACTAGCCAATTTCCAGTTCTATTCAGCCAAATTTTCAGATAGGTGTGTTTGTTATTGTGGTGCATTGAGGTTGAAATTTGTAGGGGGTGTGTTTCATGGCACATTTAAACGTTCCGAAAACATAAAAAATAATAATTTTAAGAAAAAAATTGAATTTTGATCAACCACTATTTGGACAGCCCTTAATGTGGTAGAACTGAGTACTGTTACAGGTGTGTTTGTTATTGTGGTGCGTTGAGGTTGAAATTGCATTTTACCCCACCCATAATTTTTTGAAAGTGTTGGTTGATTACAAACCATAGTTTTGCATGGTCCCAATGAAAAAACTCTTTCTTAAATCTATTTTTTCATACAAACCATAGTTTTGCATGGTCCTAAAGAAAAAACTCTTTCTTAAATCTATTTTTTCAAACCACAAATGTAAAAGCTAATGCGATGTTAAACACACACGTTGAAGCTTATTGGTTTATTTTGCAATAGATGTACTAAAAGGCTTTTGTAGGGCTGAAGTATTTTTCCTTCTTACAGACCATGGATTTCTATGAAACGACTGCATATAGCTGAACTCCTGTGGAAGTAATTGAGTATACTTCAGACTCTTTTTTTGCCATGATTAGTAGCTTATTGAGTAAGATGAATGCAAGTTCAAAAGGTTTATAGAGTAGTTATTTTCTGTGCTGACGCAGGTAATAGAGTTGGTTTAAGGGTTTAGGCAGAACTGTTAAGTTCTGTCTCCATAATTATTATCTACACTGTGTACATAGTTTCTTAACTTTGTTTGCTTTAAGAAAATTGTGTCTTTGGCCTTTTCTTCTCTCAGCGTTTTTGGATTACTACAATATACCATACAAAGTTGTGGAAGTCAACCCCATCAGTAAAAAGGAGATCAAGTGGTCTGATTACAAAAAGGTGCCTATACTGAAAATTGATGGAGAACAGATGGTTGATTCTTCAGGTCACTGGGCATTTCCTTGCCAATTACCTTATTCTTTTTTTTCCTAGAATGTCTGTGGTTAAACTGCTCGGTCTTTGTGTGGTGCATGTCAACAAGCACCAAATTTGTGCCATATTTATTTGTACTATACCTGTAAACTTATATGTTTTATTTATACGCTTACAGATATAGTTGATAAATTGTTTCAAAGGATACATCCAGACAATTCTGTCACAGACAGTGATGAAGAAAGGCAATGGCGCGGGTATGGTTGCATTTCCTACATTAACTTTTTAGGCAATTACTGGCTAAAAATATACATAAATGAGAATACACTATATGTACAAGTTATTTTCTCAGTGCTATGGTATCTTGTCTGTACAAATTGCTTGTTGCCATATTTTCAAACATTCTAGTATTATTACATGTTTTTGCTTGTTGCCATGATTTGCTTTGGCAAATAATCTCTGGAAACTGATATTGCAAAAATTTGTGATGCAGGTGGGTGGACAATCACTTGGTGCATGTTTTGTCGCCAAACATATATCGATCAGTTTCTGAAGCTCTTGAATCATTTGACTATATCACTAACCATGGTAGGATAGCAGGCTAATCTCATTATAATTCTTCACTTTGATCCATCTCGATAATGTTTCATTTTGTCTAGTTTTTACAAAATTTGTTATGAATCCTTAGTTTAGCTAACTGCTTCTCTCTTATGATGCTTTCAACAAATTCAGGCAATTTCAGCTTCACGGAGAGGTTGGTAGCCAAGTATGCTGGTGCTACAGCAATGTACTTTGTGTCAAAGAAGCTGAAGAAGAGACATAACATTACTGATGAACGTGCAGCCTTGTATGGTGCTGCAGAGACATGGGTGGATGCTTTGAAAGGTCGCCAATATCTTGGTCAGTGTTTCTTTTTTCATTAATGGTGATCTTGGTCGGCATTCAAATTTGTTACAGTGTGAGATTTTTCTCTGGTGAGAACCATTGATTGGTCTGTTGTATTTCTTCTTAACAGGTGGCTTAAAACCTAACCTAGCTGATCTCGCTGTTTTTGGTGTCCTAAGGCCCATCCGATACTTGAAGTCTGGTAAAGATATGGTGGAGCATACCCGTATCGGTGAGTGGTACTCTCGAATGGAAAATGCAGTCGGCGAGCCTAGTAGAATTAAGGCATAGCAGATGGTCGATTTTATTCATTGAATGAATGATGTTCGACCTTAGGGGCGCAGTTAGAAGTTAAATGAGATAAAATAATACACAAAGAATTGGTTTTACTGCTAGTTAAAAAAATTGCAGATCTTGGGCCGTGTCATTATGTTATGGATATGGGAAAATAAATTTGCCATTCTCGATGATCATCGTCGTGGAAGTTCCCTTAACATTCATCCATCAAGCCTGCCTTTCTTTTTGGTACTTTTAACTAAGCAAGAGGCATGTACTATCATGAAGGAACTACTTTGTTTCATTCAAAAAAACTAAGCCTTGTAAGGTTTTTACTATTGAAGATGCACTATTTACTCTTATATATATATCATTGTTGATTGTAATTTTGTCCTTGAATTTTTCTTCTACAATTAAACTTTTTTAAGCTTAAATTAGCATTTAATTGTATTTTTAGTTTTTTAAGAGATGAAAATATAAAAAGTGTAATTGTTAGTATAGCAGTGGTTGTTTTTTAAATAATTTTTCATGTTAAAATACATGCTAAAAATATTTTTTTATTTTTTAAAAATTATTTTTAATATTAACAGATCAAAACGATTTAAAATGTATAAATTATATTAAATTTTAATAAAAATTAAAATATAAATTTTTTAAAAGCACAAGTTAAACTCTCTTTGCAAAAAAAGCAATTTTGAATTTCAAAGAAATTTATTTTAATTTTTTTTATTTATAGGTGATTGATTTTTTTAATTGTTATAAATTTAATTTTAATATTAAAATTTATCTCCTTTGTTTTATAGTACTTTTGTTCCAGAGGAGAGGACTAAAAGCTCATGGTGATAAGACAGGAGAGTTTTTTTAAGCTATCTATCAGATTATGGATTCGGGTTCTTGGTTAGATTTTATTTGTTTTTTATTTTAAAATTTTTTTTAAAAAATAATTTTTTTATATTTTTATATAATTTCAAAATAATGATGTAAAAAAATAATTTTAAAAAAAATCAAAATGATGATGTAAAAAAATAATTTTAAAAAAAATAAAAATATATTATTTTAATAATTTTTTTGAAAATATATTTTCAAAGAATCATCAGCTTAAACAGTTTATT